CTGTGCAAATGGACAGGAAAGAAGCTAGAAGGCCCTAGCTCTCACCTCTTACTAACTCTGAGGCTTACACAAGTTAAGGCTAAGGCACAGCTCTGAACTACCTGGCTGACTCCTGACGGAATGCCCCAACATGCACACAGAACCCCTCAGTAAAGACTGAAAGACTTAAGAATTCCAGGCATTTAGGGAAATCTGTGGTCAATCATTAGCTGACCAATAAACTAACCAGGCAGAGAAATCAGTGACAACACATGACAAAGAACAAAAACCTTACATAATTAAATGAGAAGTCACGAAACAAACAGCAACAACAAAAAATCCTGAACAAGGGAGAGAATCTGATTTGCAGGGTTGTGAAATTTAAAACCCCTATTTTAAGTATGTTCAAAGAAGTAAAAGGAACCATGTCTAAAGAACAAAAGAGAAGTACAAGAATGATGAATTACCATAGACTATAAATAGATATCATTTAAATGAACCAAATACCATGACATTTTTCACAGAACTAGAACAAATAATCCTAAAATTTATATGGAACCACGAAAGACCCCAAATAGCAAAAGCAATCTTAAGGAAGAAAAGAACAAAGCTGGAGGTATCACCCTCCTAGACTTCAGACTATACTACAATGCTACAGTAATCAAAACAACATGGTACTGGCACAAAAACAGACACATAGATCAATGGTGCAGAATAGAGAGCTCAGAAGTAAACCCATGCATGTATGGTCAATGAGCCTACGATAAAGGAAGCAAGAATATATAATGGAGAAAAGACGGTCTCTTCAATAAGTGGTGCTGGGAAAACTGGACGGCTACATATAAAAGAATGAAAACAGAACATTTTCTCACACCATATATGAAAACAAACTTAAAATGGATTAAAGACCTAAATGTAAGACCTGAAACCATAGAACTCCTATAAGAGAATGTAGGCAGACAATTCTCAATTTCAAAACTTACTACAAAGTAATCAAGACTGTGCACAGAGACAGACATGTAGGTCAATGAAACAGAACTTAGACTCCAGGGAAAAACCCTCACATTTACAGTCAATCCATGTTTGACACAAGTGCCAAGATCATTCAACGAAGAAAGAACAGTCTTTTAAACAATGGTGCTGAGACAACTGGATACCAATACAAAAAAAATGAAATTGGACTCCTACCACATACCATATAAAAATTAACTAAAAATGGATTAATGACCTAGATAAGGGCTAAACTAAAATTTTCAGAAGAAAGGATAGGCATAAATCTTCATGACACTGGATCAGACAATGGTTTCTTAGACCTGACACCAAAAACACATGCAGCTAAAGAAAAAAAATAGATAAATTGGACTTCATCAAAGTAAAAAATTTTGTATATCAAAGGACACTATCAAGAAAGTGAACAGACAACCCACAGAATGGGAGAAAATATTTGCCAGTAATTTATTTACTAGAAGTCTAGAATTCAAAATATATAAAGAACTCACAACTCAAAAGACAAATAATCCAATTCAAAAATGAGCAAAGAACTTGAATAGATATTTCTCCAAAGAAGATATACAAATGACAAGCACATGAAAAGCTGGCCAACATTATTTGTCATTAGGAAAATACAAATTAAAACCACAATTAGAAAATTAACAAAATTGCAAGCAGAAATTGACAAATGCACTTATAATGGTTGGTTTTAACATATGTCTGAAGTGACAAACAGGTAAAAGTTTGATGAGAATAAAGACTTGGGCATAATTAACAAATTTGATCTAATGGACTAATTTACAATCTTATGGTTAATAATTACAGCATCTGGAACCTTTTCAATCACAAATGTGACAGAAAAACTAGACATATGGTAAGGCATAAATAATCTTAAGAAATATGACCCTGATCTTATACAGACCACATAATCTGACAATAGTCAGGTACAATAAAATTAGACGTCACAGGAACAACAACAACAAAAGTCCAGTGCAATTTGGGAGTCAAAATAATTTAAACTAGCTCAGGAGTTGAAAAATACAAATGGAAATAAAACATTTAGAACTGAATTCCATATAGTGTGATGTATTATGAAAATGCATAAATAAGTATATTTTAAAACTTATGGGATGCAGCTAAGGCAGTAGTTAGAGGAAACATGGTTTTAATTTGTATATATGAAAAAAATGGAAATTAATGTTCTATGTGTTCATCTCAAAAAATCAGAACAACAGAATTAACACAAGTAAAAGGAAGGAAACTATAAAGATGTAATCAATGATAAAACAGAAATGAAAACATAAAACTAGAAGGACACTTTTAAAATACTAAGATGGAAACCTCTAATAAGGCTAATAAGGAAAAAATACTGCATACAAAATAATTTTACAAATGCAAAAGGAGAAAAAAGTTAAACATAGTAGAGGTTTTTAAATTACAAGAGGATGTTATAAAAAAAAGTATGGTAATAAATTCAAAAACAATGATGAACTGGACAATTCTTAGCCTCAAAGTGACTCAAGAGGGAAAACAACCCAAAGAGTCCAATAACCATTAAGGAAGATCAGTAGTCAAAAAAACCTATATTCCAAAAAATCAATACCAGGACCAAACTTTTGCAGAGACAGAAGAGAAGAAAGCATATCAAGTTTTAAAATTTGGAAAATAAAATATAAGACAGCATCTTTAAGATAACTGTACAGGGAAGGATTTTTTAAAAATAATAAAACAAAAAGCATAAACCTTGAAGTAACCTAGGTAACTTATAGCAGAGAGAAAACACAATACTTATAAACATTGAAAAATTACTCAACCAAACAAATGCAAATTAAAATTCTATGAGATACTGTGTTGTATCCATTAGATTTGCAAAAAATTAACAAGTCTGATTGGCAAGGAGATATTTCTGGGTAGAAACATAACACTGGTACAACCATTCTGGAAGCCAGTTGGGCAATGGTGGTAAGGTTGAAAATATGCATGCCTTATGACCTGGCAATTCCACTTCTGGCTATATAAACTGAAGAACTCTTCCAAACGTAAGAGAAGTGTGTAAACTTTAGGTTTAAAAAATAAATAAAAAACAAAAACAAATGAACACAAATAGCTTCTAATAGGGGAATGGATAAATTTTTGTATTTACTCAAAACATTAATAGAGAAGTGACAATAACAAATTAGAACTTCACATATTAATCTTAATATATCTCAAAAAATGTAATAAAAAAGTAAACTTCAAAAAGTTACATGTGATATGACAGTATTTACTGGAAGTTCAAAGCATTCAATGGATACATAATATATAATTAAAGCACAAAAACATATATATTACAGTTTAGAATAATGGTAAATCCTGAGTTGTGAGAAAGTAGAAGAGGATAAGAATGCATTAATTTTAACTGAATATTTAATTCCTTTTTTAAAGAAGTTAATATGGAAACATGTTAACATCTGTCATTTAATAGCTAAATGTATACTCAAGTCTGGGTTTACGAACACAAAAAATGTTGTCAATTATCATCTATATTTCATGTTTGAAATATTTCACAATTAAAAAAAGAATTAGGTAAAAGATGAAGTTATTCATTAATAACTAGCATAGAAAAAATTTTTTTAATTGTATGGCCCTGTATTGTATCATGAAATATGCTTAATGTTTTTTCCCCCTTGATTAAAAAAGGAGTACACCATAGAAAACTAGCTAAACAGGTATACCAAAAGGGGGGACAGGGAGGAGAGATTGTATCACCTTTAATCCTACCACCCAGAAGTAATGTCTACTATACATTTTAGTTTCTGTCAACATTTTAGTGTGTCATTTTTCAGGGATTTTTAACTGGCTGAAATCATTCTATAAAAATATTTTTTTGCATCTCACTTATCTCATTTGACATTTGAAGATAGTACTTTCTCTAAATTGTTAGCAATTCTCCATAAACATTACTTTTAAATACCTGAGATGTTTGGTCATATGTGAAAGTTAATCATCTTTTAAACTGTTGTTCTATTGAGCAAATGTTCAAAAGAGTGTCCCAATGGTTTTTTTACTGTAAGTAAGTCAAGGATGAATATCTCTGTGCATAAGTCACTGTTCACATTTCTAATTTTAAATTAAATTCTGGAAATATTGGATATAGGGAATAAATAAACTTGATTCAGAGAGGTTTATATTCATTCAAAATGGTATATGACAATATTTTTGTTTTTGTTACTTCAACCGTGTTCCAGACTACATTTCACTTAACAGAATTTTTGCAAGGAAATCAATGCTATATAATTGTTCTTTTAATTCATACTTCTACATTAGAACTGACAGTCTTCGCATAATTACTAGTTTTTTTATTTTATAACTTGAATGGCCTTTTCATATCTTCTCCCCATATGTTTATTTCTATGAACTCTTTAAATATTTAGAATTATTATCCCCCTGTCCTGTTCATTATGAATATAATGCCCAGAGGCTTGATTTTTGTTTGTTGACATTCAAATCTTATATTTTTATGTGGTCTTGTTTGCAATTATCTTCATCTGCTCTTTATCTTGAAAGATTTTATAATAATTAAACTTTAAAATCCATTATGTTTCCTCTTTCTTTGTCTCCATAAACCTGTTCTACTCATTGTCTACCCCTAACAATGGTGGCCAGCAAAAAACCCTGAAAGCCCACCTAAACACTTCCCTTTCAGGAAGGTTAGAAGAATCAATGTTACTAAGTTAACTAAGAAGAGAGGCAGGCCCTTCTCTGTCTTATCACTCCCATGACCACCAGTCATCCTTCCTGAGACCACCTTCAAAACCACAGATTGGGATATGACTCTTGCTGTCACGTGTATAGTTTTACACTTGATGAGGTTTCAATAAGATAATGTATTTGAGAGCACATTGTAAACTATAAAGCGTTATATAAATATAATTATGAACGACCAATAATAATAGCAGCAAGAAATCAAAAAATCAAGTTTTTATAATTTTTAAATTCTATTGTAGAAGAACTACAACATGAGATAAAAATAAATTCACTAGAAATCTCACCTAAGATCCAGACCAGCTTCTTTCCAGAGTAAATCCATCAAGCGCAGCATTTGGAGTGTCAACATATCCTGCCGTAAATCTAAGGGGAAAGAACCCTGCTATGTTATAAGTGCTTTCCACTTTATGCTTAATAACATTTATTCAAGATTAGCTAATTCAACCAGAATTAACTGGGTGGGAAAAAACATTGACAAATAACTGCTCTGTTAACTTTTAACAGAATTTTAATGCTGACCATACTCAATATGTTAAATACTAGGTTTGTTGGTTAGCATGCTCCAGTAACTACTTCAGAAATTAAGTTTTAAAATATTTTTAGTTGTTTACCATGTGCAAGCTACTATACTACTTGTACGGGTGCTGTAATACTGCTATAATACAGTAATGCTGTGTTACAGCATCCATACAATTCACATTGCTAACTTTTCTTCTTCTTGTTTGTCTTTTGGGATGCAGAAGAAATTCTTAAGAATCACATAAGTAACTGTATGATGGGTTCACAAAACTGTAATAGTTGATTTTATTTATTATCATGTCCAAGGGTAAGTTTTATGTAAGAGGTGGTGAAAGTACAGACTTCCACATAATGACATTTTTACTATCAAGTGGGGTTAAATGTCTAGGAAATACTAAAACTTCTTTTAAAAATAGTTGTAAGCAGAGAAATGGATAAAGAAAATGTGGTAATATATACCATGGAATATTACTCAGCCATAAAAAGGGACGAAATAGTGCCATTTGCAGAGATGTGGATGGACCTAGAGATTGTTGTACAGAATGAAGTCAGAAAGAGAAAAACAAACATCGTATAATATTGCCTATATGTGGAATCTAGAAAAATGGTACACATGAACTTATTTGCAAAGCAGAAATAGAGTCACAGATGTAGAGAACAAACTTATGGTTACAAAGGGGGGAAGGTGGGGTGGGATGAATTGGGAGACTGGGATTGACATATATACACTACTATGTATAAAACAGATAACTAATGAGAACCTACTGTATACCACAGGGAACTCTACTCAGTGATGTGTGGTGACCTAACTGGGAAAGAATCTAAAAAAGAATGGATATGTGTATACGTATAACTGATTCACTTTGCTGTATACCAGAAACTAGCACTATAAAGCAACTATATTCAAAAAAAAAAAAAGTTGTAAGCATATACTATGCTAAACACATATACTTATGTTATCTCACTTAATTCCATTTAATAAACCCAACACAGAGATGCTATAATCCTCATGGACAAGAAGATCCTGAAGCTCAATGAATTTTATGTGATTTGCCTGAAATCACAAAACTAACAAGTGGTAGCAGTCATGACTGCCTTTTGGTTGGTGTGATTACTTCACAGGCATTTCCTTTATGAAGTATGGGTAAGATATTTTAATTAAAACACAAAACTATGAAACAGGATGTATGAATATATTATTGAAAATATTCTCTTGCATTTCAGAAGCTTTTTACCAAAGGAGTAGACAGCTTTGTATTTTGTAGGAAAAAAGGAAGGCTTATTAGAACAACGTATGTAAGTAAGCTGTAGAAATCATTCTCCAAAGCGAAAAAAAAAAAGGGGATTTATGACATGCCAAATTCAAATTTATGACCACTGATAGCTACCTCTTGGCTGCCATCTGTTCGTTATACATTTACACATCACCTTTCAGATAAAGCAAATGGACAGCAAATGAAAAATACTAAGGAATTTGGCACTGTGAAAACCTCTGTACATACCATCACCATTTTTAAAAATCACTCCAACTGAATCCTCACCAAACACCTTGTTGTTGTACACCAGCCACAAAGGCTTCATTTTGGAATCCATGTATTTACACTTTTCAATACTGAAAGGAAGAAAGGGGAAAATTAGCCCACTTCAATTTAAAGATACGGCAAGACTGTAACGTTGCCATGATATACTAGGCTTGGGAAAACCCCTCACCTGTTCCAGGTATACAGAAGTCAGAACGAGAACATTTCCTCTTGGCAGAAAAGCAACCGCAATGTTAGCCTTGGCTGGCATGTAGTGACGCCAGGTGAGCTGGACTGAAAACCCAGATTTGCCCTTCTCATGGCTACATTTAAAATTCCTCCTTTCCTTCCCTTATTCTTCCTTAACTTTATGTTATTATACATAAACAATAAAAATCAGAATGTAACATTGGGTTGTAACTCCATTCTTGATTTCTTAAAGAGGGATCAATTTTGCATACTGATATACTGAACATAATTATCACTTTCCCATTATTACTTTTGTAGGAAAAGTAAAAATGAGAAATAATTTTCTAAATTCATTCAAAAATCTCATTTTGAAATAGGAAAGTTTAATTAGTAAATAATCTATGATGGCTGCCAACATTTTGCTTACATAGGATTTTCAACTCTTAGAAACCAGTAATATAGAAAGCAAATTTAATTACATACAATTGAAAGGAAATGAACTTGCATTAACTTTCACTAATCCCACAGGTAAATTTAGCTAGAAGGCATATGTCCTATTAACACCAGAATAACTTTTGAGAACTTTAACATTTTCCTTTTTTAATTATATTCCGCTTACTGAGGCTAACAGCTGTCCCTACTGCTCCCCTAAGGCAGTCACTCAGAAATCCCTTCTGCATTGCTATTTAATGGGAGATTCACTAAGCCCAGTACAGAAGGTCACTTACTAGAGTTCTGAGAGGATAACACATGGGTTCAGAGGTGATTGCAGGTCAGAGAGGGCTTCCCGATAAGCATTCTGTTTTAAACAAGTGTGCATTGCTTCTTTCCCTTTGGCTCTATTTAGCTTCATTGCATTCAGTTTGATTAAACTATTTAAAGTTTTTAACTTATTGAGTGCTTCAACCTGAAAAATAAGTTTCCCCACCACCAAAATTCATTTATGTTAAAAATAATATCATGTGATAATATTAATCAATACCATTCCCTCACCACCCTCCTCCCCACAATACACAGGCAGGACAACCAGCTAACATAAAAACAGTGCTTGCTTTATGACAAGAATATTAGATACAACGAAAAAAATTGTTACCTCTTGTTACTTAAAGCACCATTTTTCAAATGTTCTTGAACCTTTTCTTAAATAAAATCTTATAAATTAGAGAAAAGTAAAGAGACATAGATTATAGGTAAGAAGATAAGTATGAAACTTTACTCAGAACTCTGCAACTAACTGAGTAATAGAGTTTGAAATACAATTAATCTGAACCACTGTAATTGGGCAACTCCATAGTACGAAAGGAAAATCTACGTACAAGTAACCCTGGGGTTGACATTCAACCTTACTAACTTTGTCATCACTCTTCTATAACATCTTCTCAGTATATTCTCTTTCCACTAAGAGTATAAAGTAAATTTTTGTGCAATAAAATAGATATGAATATAGACAACAGTAGCTATTGTTCAAGTCTAAATTAACTGGTTTTTATAATGAGGTAACTCTGGCTATCAAAACTTATGCAAAAAAAAAAATCATGCAAGTAGTACAAGGGGAATCAACAATGGCCAACTGGATCAAAACCATGTGTTTGGGACTTCCCTGGTGGCGCAGTGGTTAAGAATCCACCTGCCAATGCAGGGGAAACGGGTTCGAGCCCTGGTCCGGGAAGATCCCACATGACGCGGAGCAACTAAGCCCATGCGCCACAACTACTAAGCCTGGGCTCTAGAGCCCGCAAGCCACAACTACTGAGCCTGTGTGCCACAACTACTGAAGCCCTCGCGCCTAGAGCCCCGTGCTCCACAACAAGAGAAGCCACCGCAATGAGAAGCCTGCGCACCACAACAAAGAGTAGCCCCCGCTCGCCACAGCTACAGAAAGCCCATATGCACCAACGAAGACCTAGTATAGCCATAAATAAATAAAACCATGTGTTTAAAAGTCAACTTTACTGGGCTTCCCTAGTGGTGCAGTGGTTAAGAATCTGCCTGCCAATGCAGGAGACACGGGTTTGAGCCCTGGTCTGGGAAGATCCCACATGCCATGGAGCAACTAAGCTCATGCACCACAACTACTGAGCCTGCGCTCTAGAGCCTGCGAGTCACAACTACTGAAGCCCACACACCTAGAGCCCGTGCTCTGAAACAAGAAGCCACTGCAATGAGAAGTCCGCGCACCGCAACAAAGAGTAGCCCCAGCTCGCTGCAACTAGAGAAAGCCCGCACACAGCAACAAACACCCGACACAGCCAAAAATAATAAATAAAATAAATAAATTTATTAAAAAAAAACAAGGAAAGAGAAGTCAACTTTATTGTTTAGTAACTCAAGGTCTTTCCATGTAATATTATGTCAAATTCTGTAAGACCCAGCCTCAGCCAGGTATAAAACATAAAAAGGAGTATTTTATTTTATCATTATGTCATTAAAACTGGAAACAACAAATGATAAAAACAGAATACATATATCAACATGTGAATTGTGTAAAACAAGCATATAAAATATGTAGGCAAAAAAAAATATGTAGGCACAAACATTATGAACACCATGGCTTGCATTTTGATGAACAGGAGATTTATTTTACACCATATTTTCATTTTTGAACTTTGCTTCTATGCAAGGAAACCACTAAGACTCTGTAGGGAGGTGAATTCGGCATGCAGTTTTTACAGACAGGCTGAGGGCTTGCTCACAGGAAACTGGGAAGGTTCTATGTAGCCTGGTGATAAAATTGAGATTGCTGAAGCTTGCCAAGTTAGCCATCTGTCAAAACCACAGACACCCCATTTCTCAACAATTTCAGGAGCTGTACAAACACTGGTGAAAAGGGAACTCGCTGAAAAATGGGCTATGCAAACAAGAACTTTTTAAAGTATTTCAAATTTGAATTTCTTCCATGTTTGTACAGTTGTGAATTTTCAGGGCCTAACCCTAATTATGTTGATATCCATTTCCTGGAACAGCGTTCGGAATACCCACATGGCCATAAGTCAAATACTTTAAGTGTTTCAACACCTTGTCACACTATAGGTTTACAGTGATAACAAGAACTGCCATGTAAAGGGTACAATCTTCCCCTGGCTATTCATCAGTCAAGAAAAGAGTAAGAATAATGTGATCAGATATATGTCATATGTTTGCTGGTATAAACGTCAAACTGAGGTTCCCAGAGAACCAAAAAAACGTCCAGTGTTGTCTGCTCATATGAATGAGGCCAAAGAAGTAGGGACCTCATCAAGTGGGGTCTTAATAGCCTTTGTTAAAATTTGGATTTTATTCTCTATGCAATGAATATTACTGCAGGGATTTTAAAAAGGGAATACATCTACATTTTAAAAAGATCATTTTATCTGCTGGGTAGAGGATAAAGGTACGTGTGTGTGTGTCTGTGTGTGCGTGTGCACACATGTGTGCGTGCAGAAGAATGGAAACAAGGGGCACAATTTAAGAGGTTAATGAAGACATCCAGGTAAGAAAGGATGGTGGGTTGGACAAGGATGGTAGTCATGAACACAAGAGAAACTGATAGGTATGAGATATCTTTAAAAGGACTATAAAATTAAGGGGACTAATAGTATCTGACTATAAAATTAACGGGACTAATAGTATCTATCTCATATTCTTGTGAAGAATAAATGGCCCACAATAAGCGGTGAATAAACATTAGCTATTATTACCATCATTAAAGGGCTTTCCAAAAAGGAGGGATCAGATGCAGTTATTTTAACATGAATAAAAAACCGTAAATATTTTTTTACATCTTTATTGGAGTATAATTGCTTTACAATGGTGTGTTAGTTTCTGCTTTATAACAAAGTGAATCAGTTATACATATACATATGTTCCCATATCTCTTCCCTCTTGAGTCTCCCTCCCTCCCACCCTCCCTATCCCATCCCTCCAGGCGGTCAAAAAGCACCGAGCTGATCTCCCTGTGCTATGCAGCTGATTCCCACTAGCTATCTACCTTACGTTTGGTAGTGTATATACGTCCATGCCTCTCTCTCGCTTTGTCACAGCTTATCCTTCCCCCTCCCCATATCCTCAAGTCCATGCTCTAGTAGGTCTGTGTCTTTATTCCTGTCTTACCCCTAGGTTCATCATGACATTTTTTTTCTTAAATTCCATATATATGTGTTAGCATACGGTATTTGTCTTTCTCTTTCTGACTTACTTCACTCTGTATGACAGACTCTAGGTCCATCCACCTCATTACAAATAGCTCAATTTCATTTCTTTTTATGGCTGAGTAATATTCCATTGTATATATGTGCCACATCTTCTTTATCCATTCATCCAATGATGGACACTTAGGTTGCTTCCATGTCCTAGCTATTGTAAATAGAGCTGCAATGAACATTTTGGTACATGACTCTTTTTGAATTATAGTTTTCTCAGGGTATATGGCCAGTAGTGGGATTGCTGGGTCATATAGTAGTTCTATTTGTAGTTGTTTAAGGAACCTCCATACTGTTTTCCATAGTGGCTGTATCAATTTACATTCCCACCAACAGTGCAAGAGTGCTCCCTTTTCTCCACACCCTCTCCAGCATTTATTGTTTCTAGATTTTTTGATGATGGCCATGCTGACTGGTGTGAGATGATACCTCAGTGTAGTTTTGATTTGCATTTCTCTAATGATTAATGATGTTGAGCATTCTTTCATGTGTTTGTTGGCAATCTGTATATCTTCTTTGGAGAAATGTCTATTTAGGTCTTCTGCCCATTTTTGGATTGGGTTGTTTGTTTTTTTGTTATTGAGCTGCATGAGCTGCTTGTAAATTTTGGAGATTAATCCTTTGTCAGTTGCTTCATTTGCAAATATTTTCTCCCATTCTGAAGGTTGGCTTTTGGTCTTGTTTATGGTTTCCTTTGCTGTGCAAAAGCTTTGAAATTTCATTAGGTCCCATTTGTTTATTTTTGTTTTTATTTCCATTTCTCTAGGAGGTGGGTCAAAAAGGATCTTGCTGTGATTTATGTCATAGAGTGTTCTGCCTATGTTTTCCTCTAAGAGTTTGATAGTTTCTGGTCTTATATTTAGGTCTTTAATCCATTTTGAGCTTATTTTTGTGTATGGTGTTAGGGAGTGATCTAACCTCATACTTTACATGTACCTGTCCAGTTTTCCCAGCACCACTTATTGAAGAGGCTGTCCTTTCTCCACTGTACATTCCTGCCTCCTTTATCAAAGATAAGGTGACCATATGTACGTGGGTTTATCTCTGGGCTTTCTATCCTGTTCCATTGATCTATATTTCTGTTTTTGTGCCACTACCATACTGTCTTGATTACTGTAACTTTGTAGTATAGTCTGAAGTCAGGGAGCCTGATTCCTCCAGCTCCGTTTTTCATTCTCAAGATTGCTTTGGCTATTCGGGGTCTTTTGTGTTTCCATACAAATTGTGAAATTTTTTTGTTCTAGTTCTGTGAAAAATGCTAGTGCTACTTTGATATGGATTGCATTGAATCTGTAGATTGCTTTGGGTAGTAGACTCATTTTCACAATGTTGATTCTTCCAATCTAAGAACATGGTATATCTCTCCATCTATTTGTATCACCTTTAATTTCTTTCATCAGTGTCTTATAATTTTCTGCACACAGGTCTTTTGTCTCCTTAGGTAGGTTTATTCCTAGATATTTTATTCTTTTTGTTGCAGTGGTAAATGGGAGTGTTTTCTTGATTTCACTTTCAGATTTTTCATCATTAGTGTATAGGAATGCTAGAGATTTCTGTGCATTAATTTTGTATCCTGCTACTTTACCAAATTCATTGATTAGCTCTAGTAGTTTTCTGGTAGCATCTTTAGGATTCTCTATGTAGAGTATCATGTCATCTGCAAACAGTGACAGCTTTACTTCTTCTTTTCCGATTTGGATTCCTTTTATTTTCTCTTCTTCTCTGATTG